TGTTCAGTCAAGAGAATTGACTGCTTAAAAGAACACACTTTGTATGAAAAATTAAAGCTGGGAATTAAGGATATTGTACATTGGGAGAGATGTCATTTAAGAGAGTTACCATTAAATTTTTTATTATATTTACTCTTCTAAAACGAGAATATGTAAAAAGTTACAAAAGCTTTCATTACCAGAACTAAAAAATTTTTGAAGCAATTTGAACAATTAAAAATGATAATAGAACTCAAAAGGATCTGGAACTCGCAATGCAGGAAAACCCATAATTAATTCAACAACTTAACATTTGCATTTTAAGTCTTTAATTCTGAATGATAATTATGGGAATGGTCGTTAGGTTGATTCTTAGTTTTATGAAAATTTAATTTCCTTTTCTTTTTCTTAGGCATGAAATGTATTTCGCAACCTTTCTGATTTATATGATTTCCTTAAGACATTCTAAACACAATATTATTGAAAATTTCGTTTGTAACTGTTCGCTCTCCAAAGTACAAAACTATTCCGGGTTTTACTTAAAACTAATTGTTTTGTTCAATGAATTGACTTGGATAGTCTAAAGACTCCAATTTAATAGAGTTTGACAATTTGTTTGACAAGCACATTAATTATTTATAAAGCAATTTTTCTTTATACATAATAGATCTCTATTTCAAAAGCTTAAACCACGTCCTATACAAGAATTATAGGTAAAATCTTTATTTTAAGATATAAAGTTTCTTTGTTTTCACTTTTTAAATAGTCAGGATTTCTTTTACGATACTCACTTACAACCTTACTTATTTACTTACAACTTTATTTAGTTTCTTACAATCACACAAATGTACATATTGTACTAATTCAGTATACATAAATACGATTACAGGTAGTTACTTATACGTCATAGGAAAACCTTTCATTTACCAACTGATAAGAAATATTTTACTTCCAAATATACTGATATATATATGTTTAATATAAATATATAACAAATACATATATATACATATCTTATAAACACGTATCATTTAATATATATCAGATATACAGAATTGTCACTATTTATATATTTTGAGCCTTGGCAACGCTGATTGTTGTCAGGTGTCATCTGATGTTTCCATACGAAAGCATGAAATTGTTAAACATAATCCACTTTAGACTTGTTGTCAAAAGAGCATTACTTCTGTTATTTACAATGATGTGTAAGTTGAGTGTTTACGAAAAAATGGTATTAGCGCGAGAAAATTTTCGTGCGATGCTTTATTACGTCTTTCGACATAGATTTTAAAGACAAGAGTGCACCGTTCAACTTACTTCGATCATATGGCGATGAAGCTCCATCCTTTGCCACTGTGAAGCGCTGGTACAATGATTTTAATCGTAGCCACAGTTCGCTTACTGACAAAATTTTGGAAGGTTGTCAAGGTTGTTGTGCCATAAAATATTGATGCAAGAACTATTAATACAAGATCGTCATGCAACATACTATGAGATGGAGGAAACCCTAGACAAATATAAAATATTGAATATTACACGATCATTTAGCCATGAGAAAGATTTGTTGTCATTGGATCCCTTATCGTTTGACAAAATCAACTGTACAGAAGATGTTTGCGTTCGAAGCAGTCTTTAGTGAAAGTCTTTAGTGAAATACTAAAAAGAAACAAGCGCCATCGGAGCATTTGACGCCGTGGTTCTAACGACCGACTATTTAAACATTCGAAAAATCAAATTGATGGCTCATCCGCAGTACTGATTTTAATGTTAATTTGGCACCCAATAACTTCTTATTTTTCCTGAGCGTCAAGAATAAATTGCGTGGACAACGATTTTTGCGGAAAAAGCATTTAAAAACCATGTCTTGGAGGTGTCTTGGAATGAAAATTCTATTTTAACAAATAGATTCAACGCATGCAAAACTGTATTAATCATTAAAAGAATTCGTCGAGAAACAATAAAGCAATTTTCAACAAGTTAGTATATAAATAGCGAGCCTCGTAATCTGATTTATATAATTTAGGAAACATATATATATATATTATATATATTAAGAATCTGGTGCAATATAAATCCTTTTTTCACTGATTTTTGAATCTACACTTCGTTCTCATGATCATAATAATACATATATAATGTAATGGATGATAACTTGTAATAGTAATACTAATGAGAGGACCTATACAGTTATTCACATTTACGGCTCGTTAGCTATTAAATTAGAAGAAGTTTTTGGTGTAAATGGTTATTTGATTATTTCGATGGATTAAAAATTATGTATTTTATCATCTTGGTGCTTTAATTTCAAAAGTTTTTTCATACGTTTCATTTTATAAATTGTACCTAATTTCTAAATTTGAATTGCATACATTAAAAAATAATAAAGTTTTTCTAAAAAGCAATTTGATTCCATAGCTTAGCCGTATGCATGCATGGAAGGGCAAATGGACAGGACGAAATAAACTCAGCTAATCTAGCTGATCAAGAATATATATACTTTATAAGGTCTAGAACGTTTCCATGAATATGTTACAAAAATCTTTTCAAAACTTATACCTACACACTTGCTATACTTCCTTGTGAAAAGGGTATAAGACTATAAAAAATATATTTCAGGTACACAAGCCAAGAGTTATTTATTTAAAAAAATTTTTTAAAACTTTAAAAGAATTGTCCAATATAAATCATAAATGCAAAAGATTTGCTTTGGTAAAATTAAAAAAAATACAGCACGAAATTAAAAATAACTTCCAAATAAAAAGCAAACTTCGTACCCAATTCCCCAAGCAACTCCAAAATTCGTCTGCAAACCTGCAATGTTTCTTGAGTTTTGCTTACATTTTAAAGTTGTTGGTCAATGCGGAGAATTGCCAGGAAAAAGTACATCCACACAAGAAATGTGGGGCTTTTAGGAAAGAATTTAAAAGTCATGAAAAACGAAGAAATCTCGACATCAAAAATCTTTTTCCTGCTTCAACTTTTCTTTGCTGATTCCGATATGCTATTGGGAATTCTGCATTTTAAATGTACTTTCCGCAAACACAACTAGTCGTATATACATTAGGAGGTATCCATAGATATATTCTGATGTGTATAAATACATTCGAAAGTACTTTTTTGCACTTGTTTGGATTTCCACTTTTCCACTGAGTGCAAAAAGCAATACTTGAGAATTTCTGATTTGAAAAGCGAATTGTATGTGATTGAATTGAATTGAGTGCACGTGTGGTTTCCGCTTGTACTTCCCGACTTCTTCAGCCCTCGCAGTTTACTCTTTCCTTAATAAAAGTTGATGTATTTTTAAAAAAGCAATACAAAATTAAATTAAAAACACAATAAATCGCTTACTCGTTACAAACATAAAAAATCTTTCATGGAGCTTATTACAATTACTTTTTTCCATTTTTTTTTAAGTTTATTTATTTATTTATTTATTTATTTTTTCCTTTATATGAATTTGTGTTCATATAAATTCGTACTGCGGTTTTGCCTGCGGTTCTTTTGTAATTTATACGCGATTTTACTAACGAGTTTTGTTTCGGTTTTCTAATTAAATTACTATTATAAACAAGTATCTGTATAATTCACTAGGTTTTCATGGGGAAAATGTTTTATTTTTTACGATTTTAATTTAATTATGGTTTTTCAACTCCACAAATTAAAGTCCTCTACATTTTTTACTACTACATACCACATTTGTTGAATCAAAGTAATTTTTTTATTTAATAAATATTTTTCAATTGTACAGAAGAATAGACGATTATATTTTGTTCAACAAATGTTCTGCAAACCACAAATTGATACGATTAAAGACAAAGTATTAACGCAGTGATTAAGCCAAGGCATTAGTACCTGAGAAAGATATTCATAAATAAATAATCATAAAAATAGTGTAAATATACACACGAAATATAACACGGAGCAATGATAAGCATGAATACCCTACCCTCTTATATCTTAGATATCAAACCAACTTATCCTAAATACAACAGTTTTCAATCTTTGCAATGAAGATGAGTACCTAAGAGAGTAAGAAACCAATGAAGTCAGTGCGATCCAAAAAAAAACCGACTTAATAACGAAACAAAATATTGAACGGCTGTATTTTTATACAAAAGTCCCAATCTACAGAAATTTATTAACAATCCGCTATTCCATGAAATTAAAAAAGTAGATATAATCTTAAAAGCAAACTTCTCTTATCATAAGATATAAAGCGTTTAACATGACGAGCACTTAACGCTTTTTAAAGCAACCAAAAAGTATCTGCAAAAACGTGAGAATTTCCCAAGAAATCAGTTTGTGAATCTATACTGCAATATATCTATACCGACAATATCGTTAGCAACTGTCGCTTGGGAGAACAGGACTTAACACAAAAAAGGACAATCATAACTATTCAAATTTCAAAAAACTATTATTCCGTGTAGCTTCCTATACAGCTCGATGAGCAACTCTGGATGTTGTGCTGAACCTTCTTTCACTTATTTTTTTCGATATTTATGAAACACAGATTGTTGGAAAAATTCTCCTCTCGAAAACTAATGTTTTACATCGCTGTTGATTTTACTTCACGCTGTTCATGCTGTATAGTAGTACAATCATGATAAAGCATCATATCCCTGTGTTGAGAATGCACTCTATTTTTCAGATTACCATTAAGCTCGATGTATACCTATATGGTCTCTCTTCATTGAGTCTTTAAGTTGATATTAGTTTTAGTGTTACGTAGATAAAAAAGACTTATTAAAGAAAAACAGACAACTTAGTACTATTAGTACTTGATTGCTTTGAGTTTAATTATTATAACATCCGATCCCAATGAAGAAGTTGAAACGTTGGCAATTTTATATATAAATTAATACACATGCAAAACTAAAAAACAGTTTTTATACAAAAGTTCACAAGAGCCTTTGTATACAAAAAATTAATTAATATACATATCTTTAAATATTGCTTAAACATTTATTTATATATTTATTTATGTTATTTATATTAATTTTATATATATTTCCTTACAGATTGGCGCGCTTAAAGACTATTATTTATTTCATCATCGTCATGTCTCAAAAAGATCCCTACGCACAAGTGATGAGCACCACAGCGCCTTAAATTCCGAACCAGAGGTAAGGACATTTTTAAATTGTGACAATAACAGTAGTATGGCTAATTCTTTTACTGATATAATTGTATATTTTACTTTTATCATAGTTTTATTTTTATTTTAAGCTAAGAGATTATATCAGTGACTCACATAGTCATTTGCCAGAGATTAAGTTCTGTTTGTAATGCTTTTATATAATTATATATATCTTTATACCTGTATAAGTTTAAATAATAAAAAGTATTAGAGAACTAACAGAATATGATATGGTTTCAAATTTTGTTCTATCGAATGTTGATCGTTATTCAACACCTCTATCAAAAAGTTGCCGTACATTATTGCTTTTCCGAACTATTTCCAATATCTCTCATTCTCCTACTTCAAACTATTGTCTTCATTTATTATATCAACTCGTCAAGACTGGAAATGCCTAATTTTTCAAAAATATCTATATTGACACATCTGAAGAACCATAATCTTTCTATAATTTGATACAGGCCTTTTGTTCTTTGAACATAAGAAATTTTATATTTTCCAAAAAGCCATATAGAGACTATTTGTTTTTTGACAGAACTTGAAATATTTTTTTGTAAATGTACCTTCCTGCAGCACGTCATACGTTTTGCCTAATCCAGCCTCCTCTATAAGGCGCATGTAAAGCTCCTAGGTTTATCAATCAAAAAAAAACTCATAAACTCCTAGGGTTATGTTTTATGAACTCACGGTAATTGCGTTATATTATTCTTCGTAGTTATATCGACAGAATTCATTACCTGTACTGGTACATATTTTTAATTACTATTAATTATATATATGAGGAAACTTTGTATTAAGCAGAATATTTGTTATATATCTAAACAAAAATGGCTCTAAAAAATGGATATATCCCCAATAGGGAGAGCATGTATGTATTTTAAACTTTGTAGAGAAGTGACTCATATTAATAATTTATATACTACTATTTATGTGTAGTCATAAGAATATATAGGTATAAAAATTATATATATACTAAAAATTTTAATATCGGTTTGTAATATTAAAACACTACCTAAATGCTAATTATACTTCATACTAAAAATTCATTTATTTAAATACTGAATTCTATATTTTTATTCACAGGTGCGATGGATGCAACAACAACATGAGAAAACACGTCATAAACGTGATGGTTCCTATACAGCATTACCCGGTTACAGTCCGTACGACGTTATACGTCCATCCGCAAATTTCGGCAGCGGTCCTAATTCACGACTGTCATTTGCAACTGGACTACATCGTCCAGCGCCCCGCGCACCACGTATACAGTACCGTGATGCAAGCTCACACAATATTTTCCCAGATCCTTTGTTCAAGGAACAGTGGTACTTGGTGAGTAAAGTATGTAAGCACTTAAATTCTGTTTTTCTACCCCATATACTCGTATTATGGTTGGGTAGTTGTTGTTATTGTGTTAGAACGCTTGGTATTTGTTAACCTAATTTGTAACCTGATTCCATTGGAGTAGGCAAGTATAAAAATGGTAACAGTGAAATGCATGGAAAAAATACAAATATGGTTAAATGGTTAAAGTTTTAAATAAAATGGAAAAAATATTTAGCTTTGAATATATATAAGTATGTGTGTACATATGAATTTAAGTGAAGCGTATATATGCAGACAAGTGAGTATTTATTTACTACTATAGTTGGGTGTATATGAGTATATGTATCTGCATGTCTGAAAGGTTCCGGTGCAGTACCAACTGCACTGTGTATTTAAACTGTTAAGCACTGTGTATTTAAATGGTTTAAAAGTATTTAGGATAATAGCAAAAAAAATGTTGCAGAGTAAAACGTGTAACTACCATAAATAGTTTATTTAACAGAGGAATCCTACTAACTCAACATAAAAAATTAACTTTAAAAAATGGAAGTTGTGTTTAGCTATATGTAGTTTAAGTTTATAAAAAAATAAATAAAATTAGTTTAAGTAGTTTATTAAATGAAATTAATTTAAAGAAAACACTATTAGGTTAAGAGCTTGAATCGCTCTAGATTTATAATAACGTTTATGGCAAAGATTGAGTTAAGCTTCTACATATTTACCTATGTAATGCATATAATCTATATAAATACTATTATATTATCTTTATTTCATATGGTCTTTATTAAAATATTTTGAATTAAGTTTAAGAAATTCTAAGCCGAGTATTATTTATATATACATATTGTCATAAGTAATTAGTCTAAGTTTAATTTGTATGTCTTAAATTTACAAATATTATTCTATCTACCTTTCTCTTGATTTTTATTGATCCTTAAAATTTAAATTTTCAAACCTAAATAAAATTATTGAATAATAAATAAAATATTATTTTATATTGATTAATATGACAGTCACCAAAATCACTTTAACCTGAATATCAATTATCACGTTATTTTGATATATATCATTGAACGATCATATGGGTTTGTTGTCATATATGTGACTTCAGTAAAAAAATCGTTTATAATAACTACTTTATTTAATTTATAATAATTAAGTTTTGCAAATACAGGGGTGTCCACTTTGTAGCTCTAAAAATATACGCAAAGTACGGACAATGACATTCTTTTTGATTTGAATGTCATTGTCCGTTCTTTTTGATTTTTGACATATTTATTAAGCAAAAATTAATTTTATCAGTAAACAAAACTCGAAAATACGATAAATCATTACGCGATGTTTTGCGACGATGTTCAGTGGTTGTTAAACGTTTTAGATTTATAAACGGAAAACCTTGTGTTAAATAAGTAATGGCTATGATGACAATTTAAAGCTGTCAAATCAAGATCATGAAGTGCATAAGCCGTTTATATGTCTACAGTGTTGTGCTCTGATGTATTATACCTCGCACGGTGTAACTCTTTATATACAATTTGCGTTATATTTTTATATATAATACCACAGACAATTAATATATGAATGTTTTAAACAAATAGCGAAAGCGCCAACGATTTACAATCATTTAATAGCTTCTTCTTAGTTAAAGTTTATCTTACTTACATATTGAGTCCTGCTAACCTTTTATAAAAAACTGTGGATATTGCCAGTGAACATTTTTGGTCTGGATAAGTTTATGACGTTTATGAAGTTTATGACAAATTTAAATTTTATTCCAAATTTATTTTATCTCCTTCAAAATATGCTCCTTCTGAAGCGATACACATATGCCAACGCCTAACCCAATCTTCCATACACTTTTCTTAGGCCCGTGAAGGTATGGCTTTTAGTTCCTTCAGCGAATTCTCTTTTACCGATTCTATCGACTCAAAACGCTTACCACGAATTTGAATTTCGGGAACAGGAAAAAGTCACACAGATCCAGATCTGGCGAATATAGTGCCTGAGCGATGACAGCGATGCCGTGTTTGGTCAAAAAATCGCGCACAACAAGAATTTTCCATAGTAAAAATCGCTAAATGCCCTTGAGGTAGTCTCGCATTAACAGCTGCTGTAAACAAACTAAGTGACAGATGGCGCTCAAATTTGTACCATTTGTCAAGAAAGGGTGTACCAACATAACAAAAATATTTTAAAAATGTCTATTACTTAAGGAGTAGCTAACAAACAACAAAAACAAAATTTTTCAGCAGAACTTATAATATAAGATTTTTACAAGTAGTACACCTTGTATGTATTCATGTGTATATAATGCATACTATTATATATATATTATTATTTCTACATATGATGACATCGTTTTAAGTATAACTAATTTCTAATTTCGATATAAGTTTAATTAATTATTTTCTCTATTGAGGAACTTATAAACGTATTTCTTCTATATTATATATTTTATCAATTAATGAAACAAATTTCTTTTATTTTTTTTTTTTCATAAAATCATATGAAGAATTTAGATATTGTTTTTATTTATTCAAGTATAATTTTTGAACAAAATAAATGAACTCAATTTCGACTCTGACTCCCTGGAATCGTTTACAAATGCAAATTTCTCAAAAAGTTTCCTCTGGGACAAATGCTTTTAACTGCCACAAAATATTTCAGTTAACTTTGATAATTAAAATAAATTCCGAAAATGTTTTGGAACTATTAGTTTTATTGCTGTGCACACACCGAAAATAAATAAAATGAAATAAAAATAAAAATAAAAATAAAAATAAAAATAAAACTAAAAATAAAAGTAAAACTAAAGCTAAAAATGAAGCTAAAAACTAAAAACTCTGCCAAGAGAATATGAATCTTGAAGAAAATTGCAATTTCGGAATGTGAAATGAACTTTGGTACTACATTTGCTTTATGGATACGAGCAAAGTTATTTTAAATAACAATTGTAATAGTTGCAATTTGTTGTTGTTGTTGGTATTGTTGTTGTTGTTGCAGTAGTAATATATGTTGGTTGAGTGTCATTTTTGTTAGGTTTCAGTTGGTTTGCTTGATTTTTCATAGTAAAGTTATAATAAAATTTTTATTTACTTTTGTGTTATTTGTTATAGTAAATAGTTGTACTTTCTCTGACGTTCTACACATGATTTTTAAACCACAAATACATATAGCAGACTGCCTTAAGGTTTCACTTATAACCATAAATAAGCACCAAACCAACACACTAACACACAGACACACACACCACCACCACGGAAATGAGAATGCAGCCGTGCAATAAAAGATCTGTCTTAGAATAACGTGTATATGGAATCATATGCTCTCGTCCTGTGACTATGCCCATGCATACGCAAGGATATGAAGCTCAGCTTTCTTAGTATAAGTAAAATAAATTCCGTTCGTTTTCTTACAAAGCGCACAACTACAAATTTTGCTTCTGTTTATATTTGTTTGCGTATCCATGCATGCATGCCTGCATCCTTGTCGGCATTTTCGCTGGATTTGCATGTCTTATTGGAATATTTATGATGCTTACATTAAATTTCTGCAACATGCAATTTCAATCTTTATTACGAAAACCACATAGCATAAAAAATTAATTTTATTTGGCTGAGTTGCATACACTAATAGTTGTCAGTGCATAACTGATATGTGGGTGTTGCGCAGCATCATCCCAAATTGCTCACAAACACCCACTCACCACTCATTTGCATTTACTGTATCCGAAAGCAAATATAAAGTTCACTTCCAGATCGCAACTTGTATTACATATCAGCAAATCTTGATTTCTTAATTATTTTAAAACAGAAAATATTTGTGCAATTTTGTAGTTATTCACTTGCAGCTATTTGAATCCTTCAAGAAACAAATGCATTGTTCATTATTATTAACATATTCTTGTAAATCCATACATAATTTATGCAGCTTCCGTATAAATTTTGAGTTTTGGCTTCAGTTCGTTATTAAACCATTCGGGAAGACTTGGAAATGAATTTTTATTAAGTCGATTTTAAGCTAATTTAAAACTGATATCAGAAGTCACTCATATCAGCTCAGCTTACCTTAAATAAAGAAATATTTTACTTTAAAACAGAGGCGTTGTTTAGATTTTAACTAAAACCTTTAAAATAATGTTAACATCAATCATGGAAGTAAATAATGAAAAAATTATTCATATAAGGATTAGAATGGTATGTTTCAAAAAACTTACAATTCCTTATAAAAAAAATATATGTATATAACAGATAATAGATAACAGATAATAGAAAATGAATAATAGATATTAGAAAATAGATAACAGGTACTGGATAATGGATAATAGATAATAGATTATAGATATTAGATAATAGATAATAGGTAATAGATAATAGATAATAGATAATAGATAATAGATAATAGATAATAGATAATAGATAATAGATAATAGATAATAGATAATAGATAATAGATAATAGATAATAGATAATAGATAATAGATAATTGTAATAGATAATAGATAATAGATAATAGATAATAGATAATAGATAATAGATAATAGATAATAGATAATAGATAATTAATAGATAATAGATAATAGATAATGGATATAAGATATTAGATATGAAATGTATATTATATTTCGGAAATTGTACATCATAAAACACAAAATAAGTTTCAGGCGTGTAAGCTGAAAGACTCTTTACGACTGAAAGAGTTTTGGTTTTTTATACTTTTTTCTTTTTTTTGTATCTAAACCCTATAATCACTTCTTTTAAAAATCAATTGCTTTAAACAATGACAGAAAAAGTTTTCACTTTCAGAAACTCTCATTGGTAGTTGCTGCTGTTGTTGTTGTTGTTGAGGTAACTATTTCACTACTTAAGTGAATACTTACGAAAGAGGTTCTCTACATATATGACCATTTTATTAGAAAACGCTATTGCTTTGTTTCCAAAAAAACGATCCTCTATAAGAATGCAGCGATTACATATATTTGTTTTTGGGGTTTGATATATCGCATA